CCTTGTTTTTTTTTTTTTTTTTTTTTTTTTTTTTAAATGAAACTATAATTCACTGGTTGTATTAGGAGAATTACTATCAACTTGAAATGAAACACCATTCATATCACTGCCTGGAAAATGCGACTCGTAGTGAGAGGAACCCCTCTTCTGGCTGAAGCTTGGAACACCACACATGGAGGCAGCAAGCAGGGAATTGTCCCAGGCTGGTCTCCGTTGAGGGAGAGAGATGGCACTTTTAGGGAGCAATTAATCTCCCTTTGAAGAAGACCTCTAACATGAATCAGTTTGCATGTATGCTTAGTCACAATGACTATAAGGGGGCTCTAAAAAGCCCCAACAAGACAGATATCTACATCCTAGATGTCTAAGGCAAACAAGAAAAGCGCCATCTGAGAAGTCTGTTGTGACTTGAAAAGCTCCCACCTCCTGCCCCCTGCTTTGTCTGCCAGAAGAGTGCTCAGCATGCTATAGCATTCTTGGCTGATAATGAAGATCAACAGTGCTTACGAGCTTCTTTGAACACAGTTTCCAAAAGGCATTAATGTGGATGTATTGAATAGAATAGACCATATTTTGATCATCAACTTACACATATTTACATTGAGAAATCACCACAAATTTTAAGGCCACCATGGTTGCTATTGCTTCTAAAAATGGGAACATTTGATTCCTGTGCTGCTTCACTTCTCAATTCCATAGCTTCTTACTTTTTGCTTATGCATTTTCTTCCACATTTATGCCTCAGGGTGAATTCTTAAAATAGTAAATGGGAGACTTTTCCTCTTGCTATTTTAGTCACTTTGCTTTACAAAATTCCTTTTCATCTTTCCCTTATCACTTTCCTTGCATCTTCTGCAGTAGCTCCCTTCTGCTACACTTTTGCTTTCTGTGATCTTCCCTTTCCTCAATTAGAGTCCTGTCAAAGACACTCTTCCAGGAAGCCTAGCAACATAAACCCTCCATCTTAAGTGTCTGTTTCTGGTTTAGCACTGGCATCATTTAGCAACTCTGTGTGTCCAGTCACCTAGTTTGTTACACTGGTGATCAGTTCTTGCTGAGATTGGTAGCTGAGCCGTCTGGATGATGTGATGGGGTTCTACCTGTCTGGTGTATTTCTCTGGACACTCTATGACACGAACTGTGGGAACTGCAGGACCAGGAGGATTTCTCAGCAGGAAGGATGTGCACAAGCCACATTTCAAATGTTCCCCCAGAAGAATTCAAAAAGTTTAGTAGCATCTGAAAGGATTTTCAATAATTCTGTGGAGAGCAGGAAAAGTGTTTGCAATACATCTTCCTCTCGGCATAGCACTGTAGCTATGCACCTATGCATACTTCTCTGCTTACACCATGACATTTGTTGCTATGGCAACATCAAAAACAGTCTATGACTAAGAACAAGCAAACCCATTCAGGCAAAATAGTATCCAGCCTCAATCCCATTCAACAGTCAAAATGAATTGTAATTGTTTTCATGCTTTATAGTGGCTTAATATCTTTCCTGTATCATTAATGTCTTTTAGCCACTTAAATCCAATACACACAGGCCCTAGTTCAATGCATAAAAACAAAACATTGTTCAAAAACATTCAAGTAACTTACAATGCCAGTCCATTTTTCAAGACAATGTTTCTTCAGAAATAATACTGTCTTTTATAAAGGAATTATTTTTGTTTTATGCAACTTCAAATGTTATAGAAATAGAATTTACTAATTTAATTTTTATGACCTAAATCAGAAAGGTCAGTTTTTGAAAATTTCTTCTCGTTGCCTAAAGGCCTGTAATGCAATGACTTTGTCTCAGTACAACTACAGGAACTCATTATTCCAAATGAAATATCGATGCATTCCTCATACCTGTTTTTTCTAAAACATCTTATTGCAATAAGTTACTATGATGGTAATCGTGACACGGTCACATACTGGTATATAAGGAAAAATCCACAATTTAGGAAAGAAATTAACAACAGGATAATAAGACAGAAATCAGAAAGCTAACATGATACAACACCAAAAGTCACCAATTTGAGTCATGACATGACTCAAATCCTCTTAATAAAGCAGATATAAGGATATGAAACAATATAAGGTTATTATTATAAAATGCATTTTTCTGTGAGACTTTATAAAGAAATGTTAAATTTAGAAACCCATGGTGGTTTCACAGGGAATTTTTAATCACATGAATTACTCTTACCTGTTATAGTTGCTTTGTTAATAGATGGTTGGTTACACATTGGTGATCGTCTGTTAAAAAGAAAAGAAAAAAAAACATACAAGCCTCTTAAACTCATAGATGACTGACTCCTTAAACAATATAATAGAAAATAATAACTTCCTTGAGAGATAATGGGGGGCTGGAATACTCTGGCATTGCCAAAAAATAAGTTCATTTAAAACAGAACTTTCTAGTATAAAAGGGAATTCACAACAGACCCTGAAACATTTCTGCAGAATGGGAACTCCAATAGAGGAATATTTTAGGAATTTACAAGTTCATTAAAAACCTACTTAATCATACCTGGAGCTTACACCTAGCTTGAAGTTTCATTTATATACTTGGTTATTATTATTCTAACGTGGCTTGCACTGCCTATGTTCTCTGACTTGAATCACTTTTTTTCTAAATTATTTTTCACTTTATTACTTTGCATATACATTTTGCACATTATTTTATGTATTTCTTTCACAAGAATCTTTAGGGCAAACAGCTCAGTGGACTGTTTTGCCTGTTGAAGCAGGCTAGAAGTTGCTGGTCTGACTTGGCTGCATAGGGATGTGTGAATGACAGCGAGCAGGGGCCACACAGGGTCTGCGTATTCCAGCCAAGGGGGCTAGAAATATCTTTTTGTGGCACTGCATAAGCAATGGTAGGCAGATGTCTTTGGAATGCTAATTAATTCTAAGTGCTAGAGATGCACACTTTGGATGAGGGAAATGACTCCACTACAAAATTTGCCAGTGTAACTAATGTTAATGTTAGCTGTGACTCTATAACACAATTGGAGAAAGATCATATTTATGAAGTCTCATTTCTCATCGTGAACTAATGTGGATTAAGTGGGATATCATTATCTTGGATGAGTAAGGCAGAGCTCTAAGTTCAGATCATGCAAGTAACTCACAATGAATGTAGCTGTCTGCTCAGTTTGGTTCATCTGCAAGACACAGACTCTGCCTGAATTATCATCTTTGAATGATCTTTGACATATGACTAATTTATTGAAAATCATATAAATTGCACAAAACCACTCCAAGTTTATGCAAGGACAACAATGCAAAAGCAATTAGTAGGCAAGAGATTTGTTGTCTCCGCTTTCAAGTATAGCAGCTTCAAGAGATTAACAAATTTATTACTCATCATGTGTGCAGGTTTATGACACAGACTTAAATTGGTAACATCTGATTGTTATTCTTAGTTTACATTTTAAAAGTATTGCTTCAAAAAAGTTCAGTGGCCAAAAATTGACACTCACTTGCTGGGTGCCCGATCTTGTAAGTTGGTTAATGCAGCAAAGTTATTCCGTACAGTACGCAGACTGGCCAGCACCTGGAACAGACAAAATGGTTTCAGTCTAAATTTCTGCACAGGTGAGACCGATTTATCTCCACTCCACTGTGCTGAAAGAAAAAGGAAATCAACTGTAAAAGGCTTCCAGAGTTGGTTTGTCTGAAGTCTTTGACTGTTATTTAACAATAACATGTCTGTAATACGAGGGCAATAGTTTATTTCTTTTTTTTTTTTCCCCATAAACAACTCATTATTTGTTTAAAGACAGACTTACTTGAAGAGGAGGAAAGTTTTTCACAGAATACTACTTAGTTCTCTAAAAGCATTCATGTTTGAAAGATAATAGCCCATTCAAGCCTAATACTTCATGCATAAGAAATGATTACAGAATTTTCCATTTGCAGCTCAGCCCCCACAAACCTCAAAGGACAAAGGGAATGAGATTGTCTAGACTTCCAGGAAAAATAAAACTGTCTCCTTTAAGGGGCGCAGTTGTTTTGGGGACAGTGCACAAGGCCGGAGTAAGAGGAAGGTACAACCTGAGGAGGGGGAAAATAATCTGCAGGCTCTTACAAGCTTTGCACATTAGGAAAGATGACATAAATGAAGTCCTTCCTTGCAGGACTTAATTTCATGCAAAGCAGCAGCAGCTGGCAGAGGAGCGTGTTCCTGTTGTCAGTGGCATGGGCACTCTTTTCTGAAGGCAGTGGGTTGAATGCAACAAATTTTGCACCATGTAAGGATTATAAGATGCATCTCTCTGACTAGGGAGAGGAGGGAGGTTCAGCTGGCGTCAGAGAGGAGTTGTCTGGAACCAGACTGGGAAGGAGAGGAAGCAGCAACACTAATCATTGGTGTGTTTTTGCAGGAGTTGCCCATTGTTGTTTCTCAGTCCAGAACTGGGCTGGTTCCCTGGTGAATTCAGGTGTGCCAAGAACTAGGAGCATGTACCAGGGAAGCTAAGTGACTCCTCAGTGACTGACCTCAGGTATGGCCATGCTTATTAGCTCTGCCTCTGCTGGACGGTGATGAATGACTCTCTACCTGCTGCACAGGGCTGAGTTTCAGGAGGCTGGGCGTGATGCCACGTGAAAACATGAACCAATGGGCACCTTCTGATCATGAAGACATGGATCTGAAATAACAGGCCATTTAGCACCTAGGGTGCTGGGGCAAGAAGTGTGCAGCGCTGCAAGGTTGCTCGGGCCACTTAGGAGTGAAGGCTAATGAGTTTTGCTGGACCCACGCTTGGGTCTGTGCAGAGCTTTGAGGGAGTATCACTGCCATACTCATCACTGTGCACATTGACCGATGTTTTCAGCTGTCTGAGGTATTATGAATCTCTCCTTTTTCAGAAAGCAGAGGCTTGACCGTTTGGTTTATATGTCCTTCTGTTTGGTCTACTGGCAGGTGGGGTTAACTGTTTTGTAGGTCCAGGGGTGAAACCTCCAGCATCTGCCCAGCATCCCAGCTGATTTAGCATACGTGCACATACTTTGAAGAGTTTCTGCAAGTGCAAGGTGTCCTCACATACATAGCAATGAATGTAAAAGTGACAACAAAAACTCTGGCCATTGGCTACCGTGGAGCTAAACAACCTGATTTTCTGTATTAAAATATTAATATTTATACGTCTATTTTAAGTTCAAAAAATAATATTTCAATTTTTCATTATAATCTGCTTTAAGTGACAGTTTATCTGTCCACAGAGGTTTCACTTTGCTTAATGTTTCGAGAATTAGATTTGTGAGCAAAAAGCAACCAGTCACCTGTGAACCTCCTTACATTTAAGTAAACAATGTTATTTTCAATATCAAGTTACATACAAACAGTAGCAAGTGAACTAATTTTTTTGATGATAAAAAACCTATAGAATTGGACCTTAAATTTCAAATCACTCAATTTTATTTTTAAAAACAAAGTTCTACAAATAATTAAGTTAAAGCAGTTGCTGCATATTACAATATAGGGAAGTGTAATTAATAATATCCTTGTGATAGATTTTTTAGTTTTAGCTTACAAAATTCCATTCTGGTAAAAATAGTAAATTATTTTGTCCTGTGGGCTGGATTCTACATGGGGGACACAGCATGTCACCCTGACACCAGTTAACAAATGCAGCCACACTACCATGATGATATGCTGAATAGAAACTGAAATGCTAAAATTGGAACTATTATTCCCAGGTGGCCCATGTTCAGATGACACAAGCCTCCTGATCAGTTGAAGAAAATATGAGTAGTTTGAAATAGCTGGAAGATGTGATCCATATGCCATGATCTACTACCACCAGGAAGCTCTGAATGGATTAATACAGTGCTTTGGCTGTTTGCAACACAAAAAAAAAAGGCATCTGCATGATGAAATATTGATCTAGGAAGATATTAATAGGATGATTTGTATGATGTGTAGATATTGCACTGGCACGTGGGATCCAATTTCTGAATTCCTGAGTGGGGACCTAATACTGCTAATGTAACTCAGAGGGGCAGGCCCTGTGCTTAGCTACAGATGCTGTCTGTGAGCATGCGAATTGCATATTCAAATAACTTTTAGATAAGGGCTATGTTTTTTCTAAGAGTCTAATCAGATGTTACTTCCCCTCTGTTAGGCACACTCTATCAACTGCATCTCAATTCCCCCCCATGTCAGGGAACGGGACACGGGATAACTCCCCCTGTGAGTACTTTCTCCTGTTCAATGCAAACCAAAACAGCTTGATTTAAACCACTGCTAACAGGGGTTTGCACTGAAATACTAAAAGCTCTCAAATAATCAATTACGGCACCTTGGTGCAAGTAGCGGTGACATCCAACTGCTCCTGCTCTAGTTACTGAAGCACATCCATCAATGCCAACAAGAATATGAAACCATCCATAAAACAAATGGGGTGTTTTGTCCCAGGAAAAACGTATCCATAAATGATGTGTAATAATTGCCTTTTTTCTAGGGATACTGTAATCTGTCTTATCTACGTGGCACAATTTGTAATTAAAATTCAGATGACAAAGAACATGAACTCAACTATGGTAAATATTATTGGATAGCTTGACCACCATACAATTTGTATTTTTTCTGTCCTCAGGAGTTAGGGTTTTTATGTTTCCTGAGACACTAAAACCAGAAGTGGTTTTACTTTTTTTTTTCCCTCTTGTTTTTCCTGCAATTTCTTCTCTTCCATTATTGATGAAGTATATTTACCATTTCGGAGATCTTAAAGTATTCTCGGAAATGCCCTGTCTTAATCTTTTCTCTGCTAATAAAACATGAAGCTTCTTCATATTAGGGATTTGATCAGTGTCTTGTAAATGCCGTATCGGTTTACAATATAATTAAATATATAACATATTAAATGAATTTTAATTGTTCTAACAGCTGATATTAGACCAAAGCATCTTGCATATTCAGACTGAAGTTGGATAGTTTCTTTTTATTTGAGTCAGCTGTGTGACTCAATCTTTCTCTTTCTATTCACCTTCAATACCATATGAGTTCAAAATTTATTTCCCCCCCTGTAGTTACACTGAATTAACTTTCATTTCAATCTATTACTGGATAAAACCTATCATCATGACTTCAAGGAATATCAATGTTAACTTTTCATACATGACAAGACAGCTCTATTTCTAAAAACTGTGGAGTTTCAATCTAAATAATATAGAATTTTGAGCTGATATTTTATAAAACAGAATTTGAATTTAAAAAAATCAAACAAATATAGAAGGGTTTGTAAAGGAATATAAGTATTCTGCTTAAAACTTATCTTGCATCTAAAAATTCCTTTGTATTGAATGCATAAAAGATGTTCAAAAGGAGAAATTGTAATTTAAAAAAAGCAGGAAAATAACAGAGAGCACAGGTTTGTCTTCAACATGACTGTCTGCTACAGTATTTGAAAAGAGATCAGTCAAAGGTGTTGTTGCACTTCAACTTTTCAGACAATCAACAAGCATTAAAAAAGAGAGATATAGATAACAGAGTGGGAGGTTTGCGACTTTCTGTTTAGACAGTTTTTTCCTGTTTCAAGCAATATACCTTACATAATATTAATAACAAAACACAACTGGTTTGGCCATTTGGCCTTAATTTGCAACATCATGTGAGAAATATGGCAAAATTGTGCCTACCTGAGCAAATGGTGTCACAATCAAGTCATCTCCATGTCTGAAAAAATGAGCAGAGTAATAAGTTAGGTATTACTGAAAACTTATCTCACAGCTTTAACAGAAAGAAAATCGAGTTTTACAATGCACTGTAGGTTACTCCAGCTTTATTCTTCAGCAGTTACTCACTACTGCTCCTTTACACATCCTTTGAAAAGTAAACACTGGCTCAGTTATTGCCCAACTGCCTGGCCTGTCTATGGGACAGCTGAAGAACCAGCCCGTTTCTGTGCTGCAGGTTGGGCAGGTGACCCACCGCCCAGCACCGATCTGCAGAGATTTCATCCCAAAGGACGAAGGTGCAAATACCCAAAGTGACCCCATCAAGGGTTACCAGCAGGTTTGCGAGCACTGGACGGGCGAGTAACTGCAGATGACCGGGCAAGCGCATCGCAGATGAATAAAAACCTGGTAAAACTTTCAAACTGACTCACACCTCGGTAGCTATAGGGGGTGTGACCGCGTGTGTGTGGTTGCTGTGGCAACCTCACCCACACCACGGGGTGACGTATGGGCAAGGTGCTGGGATGACGCACTGTGGGGATGAAGGGAGGAAGGGAAAGAGGGGTTCCTTCGCTTCGGCACTGAAAGGCTGCCACTTGAAACAGATTCCAAAAAAACATAGTCTTGTAAATAGAAGTAGGCTGAAGGGCTGTTGAGCTTAAGAGTAGCATCTGTAGCGCTAGGATATGGACTCAGACCTCTCCAGGAGACCACGGGGATGGGAAAAACTTGGAGCTTTCATTGATCGTATCTCGTATATGGCAACAATTAAGATGAAAAGAAATTTTTCAAAGACAAAAAGCACAATATGATTCCGTTTTTAATTTTCCTGTATTTTCCTGCAGTGAATTTATCGTGATAAGTTACAAGTCGCAGCTTTCAGCAGAAATTACCACTGGTTTGGTGTTTTAATGTTATTTAAGTTTAAGCATAAAATATGAGTATTTAACAAAGGATTTCAAGTCCATGAAAGTCTAATAAGAAAAAGGCTTTCTGATAAATGGAGAGATTTGATTTGTGCTTGAGTTGCTACAACATCATTGTTATAATTTATATACTGTCCACAAGAGAGTAATGTTTTTGCAGGTATTGCAAGAACTTAATAAAAAGCAGTAAGCACAACCACAGAGCCTGTAAGGACGAAACAAACCTCCCCAGTGTTCAAAATTATCATAATGCTTAGTATCTGTGTAGCTGGTTTTACGACCATCTCATTTCTTTCTTTTAGTTGAAATACAGGAAGGGATTTTTACAGACCCTGTGGAAGATGTCTGCACTTTTAACAAGGTCTTTGCAGGAGTCGTTGGAATAAGGTGTTGCTTCAGGTGAAACCAGAGTCCCAGCCTGGCTGGAAAGTGTGCAAGTCTGATCCTCACACCAAACCAGAAGAAACATGGTACCACGTGGAGAACTCAGAGGCATTAATTACCCAAGAAAGCAAAATCAAATCAGTTATTATAGACATCATGAATTACCCCAGGGCATTAACAGCAGATTTAATGACCAGCTGGGTTAAATACCTCTTCATGTTTTCATCGGGTCATGAAAACTTCAGGAAATGTCCTAGACTGTAATTTCTGATCAGGATTGCTTAATGAGTTACACAGCTAAACAAAGGCTTCAGCAGAAGATAAGCCTTTTCTCCCATGTTCTCCACTTACACAGACGTAGTGTGAGTATATACACTACCTCACTTCCAGAAAAATTATGCTCTTTGTCTTCAAATTCTGTGGAATGGTATTATCTGCTGTGTGGCAGTTGTCTTACCCCTTCCTCTAAAATCTGTTAATTTTTTCTCTTTTATAAAGAATATTTCTACTATTTGCATGTAGCTACTCCATTTTCTTTTCTGACACTTTAAAGAGACACAGCTGTGTAGAGCAAGGAACCCTGCATTAGTCATCTGAATGACTTCTGCAAAGATGGTAGAGCCTAAAGCCTCAAGTAAATTATTTGCCAGTCTTCCTCACACCTGCCCACTTTGTTAATCAGGTTGTTTAGGCAAAAAGCAAACAAAGGCTTGAGCAAATTCTTAGAAATGCGTGTGCGTTTTTTGTAAGTGATCAAATTCTGCAAAGAAACTGTACCCAAAATAAATACATAAACCCATTTTTACTGATCTAGTCTAATTCCCACGCTTGGAAATGATAAGGGGCAGAATCCTGGAGATGAAAATTTTTGCAAGTGGCAGCAGACCTGGACACAGAACAAAAATATTAAATTATTTCTACCTCTAAATAAGCCAGGTAAAGTAGAGCTAGTGCTATCTAGCATCACAAACACCTGTCAGTGGCAAACACTCTGAATGCCCAACACATGACACAAATGCACAAAATATGAATCAGTGCTTCAAATTCCCAAGCAACTGCTACAACATAGAGCAGATTGTGAAAACTATGAAAATACGGTAGTCCTTCTTCTCACCATCTCTGGTGGGCCTCTTTACTGGAGGTGGTACTTACTTGCTCTTCTTTCCTTTCAGTATCCCTTTTGCCACTTCTTGAATGCTGAATGCTTCCAAAAGTACAAGTACATGTTTCTGGGCTTTCTGCCCTGGAGGGTTTTTTTTTTCTTTTCTATAAAATAGCATGACCCTGCTCCTCAAGTTTCCAAGCTCCATTCTACTTAAGCTTTTGCTGGACTGCATTTCATTGGAGAGCACCGATAAAATATTGTAGCTTGTTTTTTGGAGGAGGCACTATTAAATATTAATTTAACGCACCGAAATCAACCCAGGATTTAGTCTTCACTTTTCAAATGAACCTTGTGTCAAGAGCAACACTTACAGAAATTATCATTATATTGGTGAAAATGTGATACAGATGTCCACAGCTTTCGCAAAGCAGTTTAGCATGCACCAGTTCGGACAGAAAAGCAATTGCATAGTGTGGTGAGTAATCTTTAAGCCACACTTGGTCAGGAAATTTGGAAAAGGTGAGAGTGCTCAAAAAGGGTGCAATGTCTAAAGCAGCTGTGTTATTTTTTGTACAGAAGAGCAAGAACGTATGATTCAGTCAAAGTGCCATCGATCCAGTGTACTGCGGTGTAGTAAACACTACAATGTACGAGTGTCCTGCTGTTTTCTTTTCAGATGATACGGAAGCTGATAGATGACTCTGTCTGGATTCTGGACAGGATAGTACCACACATCTATATACAGAAGCAGCTACAGAGAGCGTAAACCCTGTGCCATATATCACAAGCTTCTAAATATAGACAGAGCTGTTAACCTTTAAGGTTAGAAGAAATTGTTCACATCAGTGTTAGACTCCGTTAACTAGAATGCCTGGCATACTTGTTCATATCTTCATTTTTCAAAGGAAAGACAGATTTGGAAGCAGAATAATTTTCACATAGACTCAAAATTTAAAATGGTCAAATCCACCACCACCAAAAAGGACTGCTAGAGCATACAACAGTCCACATTAGATGAATTGCTGCTATGTAAAACACATGTCAAATTGCCCTTAGCAGATCAAAGATTATATAATGCATTGCAAGTTATTTAACATGTTAAAGCAATGAAGCCTGACCTGCAAATTTTCTGTGTATCCTACCTTTCTGTGTCCCAACCTTTCCTATGGGACATACTTGAACTCACCCCCTATAACCTATGATGGTCCCCACCATGGAGAAGAGATAAAAATGCTATGGTAAATCAGACATTAGATGAACATGTTCAGCCGATTGTTGCCAAATAAAAAGGATAAAAATTTTGCTTCCTTTCCTCAAGATTGGCATTACTTTGTCTCTTCTATCCCAATTACAGGACAGTAATTAACTTTTCCCCCACTAAAAAGGAACTTAGAGATGCATGAATGGTCAGAAGAGGCAGGCAGGAAGATTAACGCAAGGATAGAAAGAATGACTGCATAACCTTTATTTCTTAATTAAGTTGGGATAATTTAATATAATTATTTAATAATAGGAGTAGCTGGAGAGACATTTTGCAGACCTGCTAGGATACAGTTAAAAAAGAAAGGGGTTTTTTTTAATGCAGGCAGAAAAAAATCAAGATCACCATTACGGAGAAGTGAGTTCCAGACCTTAAAGACCACTAGAAGACCACTAGAGTCTGCACTTGCCAGTGTGGAGCTTTGCAAGGAAGATCCTCAATAAGGTTTACCTTGGTAAAGGCCATACTAAACTCAGATTAAGACTTTCTAGACACACGTGAAGAGTACCAAGTGAGTGATCTCGAGGACACATATTGCAGATGGGAGACATAAACAGGGTAAATAAAAGCTCTCCCTAAATAGAGGGGGAAATGTACAAAATATATTTACACCAATTTAACACATACCCTTTCATATACAAGATGTGGTCAAAATAAAATTCCTAGTTAATATTGATACAGTTGTTACAGCAAAAATTATAAGACTTGTGGAAAGAATCTTGACACGTTGTATCAGTTTAAAGCCTGATCATACTGGTTTGCCACACTCCTCCATTTGAATGAAAAATTCACTTATCTCCCCCGGATAAGTACTGGCTGAGGATTCCAGCCAGGCTTTAAATCCAACTGGCATATAGTCTGTGTTGGATTCTCTGGTTACAATTTTGGGATGTAGCTTATTTGAAAGAATAAGGCTGCCAACAGACTTTGGAAAAGCCCTAGGAGACAGTGGCTGTCTGGAGTCCCTGCACTGTGCTCCACAGCAAGAACTAAGGCTTTTGTCACATTGTCACAAGCATTGACTCAATTTTTACAGAGTTGTTTTGGGGCATTTTTTAGTTTTTTTTTTTTCTTTTAATATAGAAATGTAGCAAACAAAAGCAAGGGAAAATCCATACTTTCTACACATAACTTACAAAATGGGAAAGAAGACGAACATGGAAGTAGTCTTCTACTCGAACCAGAAAATCTATTGCAGCCTCCTTTTGCAGTGTAAACATCTAAATTTGGATTAAACATGACATCCACTCGTTTCTGTATACAGGGCTGATTCAGACTTACTGTTCAATAACATGCTATAAATACAGCTTAGATGAGACATT